GGGGCTGTTAGTTCCAGATCTTGAGGAAGGAGTCCCAGGAGCCTGTGGCCACAGCCATGCCATCGTCAGTGACCCCGAGGCAGCTCACGCGGTTGTCGTGGCCAGCGAGGACACCTGTAGGGGGTGGGCATCAGAACTCCCCGGGGCCTGGGTTCCCGGTCCCCGCCCTCCCCCCGCGGCACTCAGCGCTCACCAGCACGGTCACCCTTCATGGCATCCCAGATGTTGCAGTTGAAGTCATCGTAGCCAGCGAGCAGCAGCCGGCCGCTGCGCGAGAAGGCAACAGAGGTGATGCCACAGATGATGTTGTCGTGGGAATACATAAGGAGCTCCTGGTCGGCCCGCAGGTCAAAGAGGCGGCAGGTGGCGTCGTCAGAACCCGTGGTGAAGGCATAGCCATTGGGGAAGAACTGCAGGACGCAGGACCGGAGTGGGATGAGGGCACGGCGTAGGGCCACGGGCTGTGAAAAGACAGCCAGCCCAGCTCGCCCCAGAACTTACAGCCACGGCATTGATGTCGGACTCGTGGCCAATGAAGGTCTGTCGGCACATGGAATCCCGTACGTCCCACAGCTTGATGGAGGCGTCGCAGGCACCTGACACAAAGGTGCGGCCATCGGGGGCCAGTGACAGGGACATCACATCGCCACTGTGTCCAGCAAAACCCACCGTCTGCTGGCCTGTTTCAATGTCCCACAGAGCACTGGAGAGGTGATAGGAAGAAGGAAGGGATCAGAATGGGGGGCAGGACTGATCAGTGCCTCCCTGCCCCTCTGCCCTGTGAGCACAGCACTGATAGAGCCTTGGGGGAAGGGGCACTGGGAGCCACTGGGTCACAGAAGCCTGCTCTTGTCCCAGGTCGGGTGGGGGCCCCTTCCCCCTCCTTCCCACCACAGGAGAGGGAAGCTAAGGCATTCAGAGTGAGGGCTCCGTCCTGCCTGCTCAGGGTGTACACTATGCACTGAGAGCACTGAGGTAGCGGCCCCCCGGCAGGAAGCGTGAACGAGCCCCAACTGCCTAGCCCTGGCAGGGCCTCACCAGGTGGTGTCCCCAGAGCTGGTGATGATTTGGTTGTCATCCAGGAAGCGGCAGCACGACAGGTACCCTGGGGAAAGGGGCTGGTCAGCCGGATCTCTAAGGCAGGGTAGCACAGCCCCTCCCCCTGCAACAGTGCCTGTGCCCTGCCAGGCCTCTCTCACCAGTGTGGCCAGGCAGCTCCCGGCTGACCCTGACATTGCCCTCACGGGTCTTGAGGCTGTAGATGGAGCAGATGTTGTCCAACCCCCCACAGGCCACGAAGTTCCCTGAGGGCGCGTAGGCACAGGTCATGACCCAGGAGGAGCGCAGTGGGATGGCATGGACCTAGGGAGGAGGGGCGATGCCCAGGGTCAGAGCCAGCCAGGGCCTGCAACCCAGCCCAAGCTGGCCTCAGGCACCACCTCTACCTTGTTGGTGGTGTAGCTGTCCCAGATGATGAGCTTCCCGTCCTGGGAGGCGCTGACCAGCAGCCTGTTGGAGAGTGGCAGGGGAGATAAGGAGGGGTCAGAACCTGAAAGCCCTTCAGGAGACAGGTCACCCTCTCCTCCCCTCCCATCTGGTAGGAGGCCCCTCTGAGAACTCCCAGCAGCAGCCCCGAAGTTCCCGTCAGTCTGGTCCTGTTTCCTATCCCCTGGGGATGTCTGGGAGTCCCGGTCTTCCTAAACTCGGCAACATGGGGATCCTGTTCACCCCACCAGATCTGAAAGGCTGCCCCCTACCCCTGCCCACTCCGCCTGCTATAACCTCAGCCCCAGGCAAAACAAAAGCTCAGCTCACAGCCCCAACCACATACGTACCTTGAGTCTGTCCCCCAGTGCATGGCATAGATTTTTGCCAGGTGCCCACGGAGGGTCCTCCGTGTCCTCATCTGGATCCTCCCCACTGGGTCCAGCCCAGCTGTGATCTGGAGATGGCAGCAGAGCGGGCTCAGGGAGGTTCAGACCACAGGGGCCTCCCAGGAATATACCTGCTCAAACCCTTGCTCCTTCCCCAAAGCCCCAGTGCTGCCCTGGGTTATTCTCACCTGGGTCAGCGTTGAATCCCCACATGCTTTTCGGGCATCCTATGACATGGCAGAACCAGTCAGAGTGAGGCAGGAGAGAAGATGGGAGGGGGCCAAGAGGATGGGAAACAGGAGACAGGCGAGTGGAGAGGATGAGACAGTGAGAGATTAGGGTACCCGCACCCACCAAAACCCTCCGCCCAGCCTTACACACAAGCCACCTGGCCCTACCCACTCAGCCTCCCCAGCCCGCCGGCCAAGCCCTCACCCGGATCTGGTTCCGGAGCTGCTCAGCCTCCTGTCTCAGTTGCTCCAGCTCACTCATGGCGCCGGGCCCGTGGGGCGGGGTTGGGGGCGGCTGGGGGCCGCGGGACGGGGGCTGGGGGAGGCAGCTCCTCGCCGCTGGCCCGAGGCCTGGGGGATGCAGGGCTGACGTCAGGCCCAAGGCCGCGGGGGAAGAAGTGGGGAAAGGCGGGGTGGAAGCGCGGCCCGGAAGGGGTGAGCACCGGTCCAAGGGGGGAGGGGGCGGCAGAGGTGGCCGCGGCCCGGGGGCAGAGCCGGGGTCGCTGGCACAGGCGGGATGTTGCCGAGGAATAGCTGACTTCCCCAATCTTCCTCCCGCCCCCCGGAAACGGAGCGGGAAGTGCAAGAGGAAGCGCAGGGGAAACCCCTCCCTCGGACAGCAGCCCGGGCGGGACACTCGCGGCAGGAACTGGGGGGGGGGGGGGGCGGGGAGAGTCCCTTCGAAAACAGACCTGGCGTCCGCCCGGCCCGCACCGGCACCGCCCTCCTAGCGCCTAATTTTAAAAGGGGCGGTGCCTCTTTAAATTCACCCCCACACGCCGCACACCCTCCACACACACCCCCGGCTTCGACTGGGGCGGGGGGAGACCAGAGGGGGAAGCTGGGCTGTTCGTGGGGTTGCCTAGGCAACCGTCACCCGGACTGAGAGCACCTCATTGGTGAAGTGCCCCCACCCTAGCCCAGTTGCCAAGGCAACCGCATCCACGGCAGAGACCTGTAGGGTGGGTGACCCCACCCCCGGCCCCATCGCCCCCGCCCGACCCAGCCTCCCGCCCCTCCCCAGAACCGGCCAGGGTGGCTGTTTACAGGATTTGGGAAAAGCCGATTGGGCACTAATAGGTTCGGGACGGCTCACCCCGGATAATCCCCGGGCCGGCTGCGTCCCATTAGCCGCCCGCGGCGGGTGGCGGCGAGGGTGGCGGGGAAGGCAGCCCCGAGCCGCTGCTCCCTCCAGCGCCGAGCCCGCCCGCCCCGGCGCGCCCGCAGAAAGCCCGTGGGAGCGGCTCTCGAGTAATTAGGGCTGCAAGGAGAGGTCCCCGGCACCGAGGAGCGGAGCTGCTCTCTCCCAGGCGCCGGCGGGCGGCCCCAGGCGGCCCGGCCCCTGCGCCCTCGGCACCCCAGGAGCCCAGCCCGCGGCTCCGCGCCGGGGCCCCAGGGGCCGGGCTGGCTGCGCTCCAGGGCCCCGAGTCCTGCCCCCGCTTGGGACACCTGTGTGATCCGGCCATGCACACTGCACTCTGCCGACCCAGCGTCCCCCACCCTGCTCCCACTTCCCCCAGGCCTTGGGCGTTCCTCTTCCCCACTGACATTTCCCCTCTGTCAGTTCAGCTTTCTACGCCAGCACCAGGGATGCCCCCCCAAAAGACGGGAGGCAGAGCCCCCCACGCCACCTCCCGAGCGCCGGACAAAGCCCCTTCCTTCCAGCTGCCGGCAGCCTAGGCCGGGCGGCAACGCCAGAGGCCAGGGGCAGAAGGAAGCAGGCCAGGAGGAAGCCGCTGGGGGCGGGGGCGACGCTCCCAGCCCTCAGTCCCCATCACCCTTCAGGGCCCCCTCAGGGGCCCCCGGGTTCTGGGCATACAGCGGCTGGGGCCCCAAGAAGAACTGGGGGTGCCACCGCCTCCGCAGGTCCGGCGGGGCGAAGGGGAGGGGACAGGGAGGGTCCCCGAATCTGGCAGCTGGAAGGCGCGGGCCGGTGCCGCGCTGCGATCGCAGTGGGCCTGGCCCTCCGGCCCCCTCGACCTCCATTTTGCCCAAAAGAAAGCTAGGCGGGGGGCGGGGGCGCCGGGGAGCTGGGCTTGAGGTTACGACTTGTAAAGGAAATAGGGGGTCGAGGTCTCCGGTCTAGGAGAGTGGGGCCAGAAAACACGGGCAGAACCCAAATCGAGGGTGGAGCCGAAGGGAAGGGTGGCCTCGCGGCCTTGCTGCCTCTCTGAGGATTCTGGAGTTTTGCAAGGCGAATGCCGGCGGGGGTGCGAAATGGGAGGACACGAGGGGTGCTACCCAGGGGCAGGAGGGAGGGGGGGAAGGGGGCGGGCCGGGGCCTAGAGAAAGCCCCGAATTTAGCCCCCCAACTTCCCAGGGAGCAAGAGGCAGGAGGGGCTGGGCTGCGGTCTGGGGTCAGGCAAAATGCCCCAATGGTGCAGGGAGTGGGTGCATTGAGGGCGAGGGTCCCCCAGTTCCCCTTCCGGGTTTGGAAGCGACGGGGCCAGAGGAAGGGAGGGGAGGTCTGGGGAGTTACGTCCGCTCCCAAGAGGCCAGACCGAAGAGACAGAAGGCAGAGAGGCTCCCCCGACGGGAATTTGGGGCTGGGGGGATGAGAACTCCTTTTGTCAGCGGAGGTACCTGTGGCGGTGGGACTCTGCGAAGGGTCGCTGGAGGAGCGTGGAAGGTCCTGTCTTCCTCCGCGGCGGAGGCGGCAGCGGCGGCAGCGGCGGCGACGCGGATGGATTTCCTCAGTCACCCCAACTCAACCGTCCAGCGCCGCTCTCCCCAGAGCGGAGGGATCCCGCCCGCCAGTGACGCGGCCGTCGCCGCCGCGCCCAGGGCCCGGCTGGGCGAGACCAATTACTGAGTGGGGGGAGACCGGAAGGGAAAATACCACTTAAGGGGCAAAGTTTGACTCTGTCGCGACAAAGAATTACTCCACACTATTTCGACACAAAACGGACCAAAATAAATGCTTTGCTTCCCTAAAAGGGGCAAGACATCCCCCCTGGGACTGGCAGAGGTGGTACCGGCATAAGGGAGGGCGAAACCGCTCGCTGGTCACGTGACCTACCCTCCCGGATTGGGCGGCTCCAGACAGGGAAGGGGAGCTCGACGCCCCAGTTCTCGGTTTGGCCACGCCCCCCGCCCTGGTGAGACCACGCCCCCCACAGGGGGCGGATCTAGAGAGATCCCGACCGGCCCGCGCCCCGAAGGCTGCCCAGGGAAAGAGCAGTGAGCAGGAATGAGTGGGGCACATTCCTGAGCTCCTACTTATTTAATTCTCATGGCAGTGCTATGAAGTACTGGCATTTCCCCCGCTTTATAGTAGTGGAAACAGATTCAGGGTCGCAGAGTTGAGATAGGAACCAAGGCAGCTTTAGCGACTTTACTGTGCAATGATATCAATACTAGCTTCTTGATGAACTCCCTGTGGACCATCCCTGGGAAGGGGTGAGAAGGTAAGTTTAGCCTCAGTTTCCACATCTGTAAAATGAGAGTGTTGACAGCTACATGCCCTGCGATACACCTTGGATGAGGTGCGATGAGATCCCCACGGAGTGTGAAAATGCTTTGGAAAGTTCGTCAGTGAATAGTCTTCCTTGAGTCCTCCTGCAATTTAAAAGCAAAACTATCAAAATAGACACTTTTCATTTAGTCTCTGCTGAAGGCATTACAAATAGTTTTCAAAGCACGATTTTTAAAGGAAATAAGAAAGCCCCCTTTGCAGTCATGCACAAATTCCATTTGTGTGCACTTACCAATTCAATGATATACTAGCAGTAGACAATATATGCCTGTTAGACAGAATTTGGAAGGAACCTGATAGATAATTTGCTTCAATTTCCTCTCAATCTACAGATAGGCAAAGTGACTTCCCTAAAATTACTTAAAAACTAGCAGCCTAGGACTAGAACCCAATTTTGTTAATCTCTGTGGGGCATCTGACACTGCTTCCTCTCACTTTGGTTTCAGTGCTAATATACTTCCTTGTTTTAACTCATTCAGCAAATATTTATTGAGTCCCAGTGATGTATCTGGCGCTGTCCTAGGCACTGAGGATACAAACGTGAACACGTGCACCCTCTGCCCACCGGGAGGTTACGCTCTGCAGAGGAGACAGATGGTAAGTGATCGCTAAAATGACAATTAGCGCTGGTGGCTTGGAAGTGCCATTTACTGAGAGCAGAACATTTGGGAGGGGACACATTTAGGGAGGCAAATCAAGAGTTTTAGGTTGGACGTGTTAGGTTTGAGGTGCCTAGGAGAGGTGCAAGGAAGAATGTCCGGTAGGTGGCTGTTGGAGCAGGGCTGGGGCTCAGCAGAAGAGTCTGAGTTGGAATAGAGCCTTGGGAAGGTGTGGTATTTTAGAGCCGATGAAGTCATAAAGAGGTTCAGGGAAAAGACAAGATGGCCTAATACCAAGCCCTGTGGAACTCCAACATTAGAGGTCAGGCAGAGGAGAACAAGCTGCCAAAGGAGAAGCAGAGAGCTAAGAAAAAAGTCAGGAGAATGTGGAGTTCTGGAACCCAAAAGGAAAGAGGCTTCCAAGAAGGGAATGGGCAACTGTGTTGAGTGAGTGCTGCAGAGATGAAGCAAGACTGGCCTGGGAAGTGCCCACAGGATTGGAAAACGTGGAGGCCCCTGGTGGATGCTCTGCTTGCAGTGGGCTGCAGGTGAGTGGGAAATGAGGCAGTGGAGACAACCGGAGTGGCCAAGGCTTTGGGAATCTTGGCTTGGAGGGGGTATAGAAAGTGGGGCAGCAGTGGGAGGAGAATGTAGCGTCAAGATGTTTGTGTTTTGATGGGAGCTACTGGAGCTTTTTTAGATGCTAATGGGAAGGACAGCAGGGAGAGAGAGGTGAAGGATGCAGACAAGGAGGAAATGACCAATAGATGGCCAGTTTCTCTGAGGAGGCAAAATCCCTGGGGCACATGTGGAGAAGCTGGCTCGGACAGGTCATGGGACACTTCCCCCTTCCTCTGACTGTTCTTTCTCAGGCTTCTCCTTGGCCTTCTCCTCCTCCTCAGGGCACTCTGTAAACGTTGTTTTTCCCAGGATCCCAACTTCAGCCTCCTCTTCTCACTCTCCATGTTATTCACTGGTGACGTCATCCATTGCTGTGACTTTACCCCTTAGTTGCTGTAACTCTCAAATCTCTATCTCTAGCCCACGTGTCTCTCCGCATGTGCAGACTTGGTGATTGTCCAGCTGCAGGCTGAAGATCTCCATCTGGATGCTCACGGACGGTGGTGTGTTGGAGTCAGCTCGTGCCAGCTCAGACCAGCTCACAAGAGCCCATTGTATACCTCTCTTCCCAACTCCTTGTTCAGTGAGGTCACGTTGATAGTAGTAACTTGTCATTGTCATGGTGAGAGTGTTCATACCATGGAAATCGGCAAATACTTCAGATCGGGGCTCCATCTCCTCAAAGAGTTGTTGTTAAAACATTTACTGAACACCGCTGTTCACAGATGTCTTACACTCAACATATTCGAAACTAAATTAATCCTTTTCCACCTCACCCCACCCTGCCCAACCCTACCCCTTCTCTGAATCTCTTGGCCCAGTTAACAGCATCCACCATCCAGCCAGGAGCTTCTCACTCCCTCATTCCCCATATCCAAAGGATAGTCACTAGTTAGGGTATAGTTAAAACTGCTATAACAAAGAGTCCCAAAAATTCAGTGGCTTAACTGACAACCCCAAAATACATTCTCCAGGACTGCGGGGGCATCTCTGCCAACCTCAACATGTGAGTTCCATCTCTGTGTCCAGTGTGGCCCAGGCAGCTCCCACTGTTGTGTCTGAATCTCATCTATTGGGAAGGGGAGAGGGGTGGGGTGGAAGCACAACTCCTTTTCTGTTTAAGGACACCACTAACTTCTGCTCAGAAGTTGGCCAGATGCAAGGAAGGCTGGGAAAAGTAGTCTGTAGCCATATACCCAGCTAAAACGTTTTTCATAAAGAAAGATGGAAGATGGCTATTAATGTAAGGCTAGCGGTCTATGTCATCGGTGGACACATCTTGTCAGTGCCACCTCTCAAATTTTGCTTCATTCCATCACTTCCACTGCATGCCGAGCGCTGTTTCCTGGCCTCTAGGATAGTCCCTCTCTAATCAACCTACCAAATAGCTGCCGGAGATATCTTTCTAAAATGCAAATTGGATCATATAACTTTGTTTTTAAAAGCCATGCAGTAGTTCCCTATTGATTCCAAGAGAAGGGCCAAACTTCTTTGCATGATGCATGGGCTGGGTCTTGTCAGAATGCCTCCCACCCCCACTCCAGCTCAACTGCCTTGTCAGCCAGGAGAATTCAGGTCATTTTCTCAGGCTGAGTTTCCATATTGCCTGCCTGACCACACTGTTGCCGCCCCACTGCAATGCTGGCTCCATTCCCACTGCAGCCTCTACTGGACTATTCATTTCTGGCCACTTGCCACCTGCACTAGGGGCTTCCTGTGAAGCCAAGGCACTTGGTTTTTCTGGCATAGGGCTGGATAAGAGCTCACCCAGCAATGAACAGACCCTCACGAGCTGCCCAATCATTTCCAAGGTGTGGAGCCTGAGGGTCCTGACTTACCACTTTCAATGTCATTACCAGGTGCTCAGCCAACTGACTGTGGGCCTGGAATGTGGGAACCTCCAGATGCCTTTATTGAGTTAGTCGTTTGATCATCTACCTTCCAGGAGAGACGTTAAACTCTGTGAAACTCACGGGAAGCTATATGGGCCAGGCTAGTCCCAGTGCCTATCGGGTACTTAGAGAGCATCTATGAAACGAATAGAAGCAGGGCAACATTTCCCCCAGATCGATACTTTTTGCATGCCCCAGTTCAAATCTCAGCTCTATCACCTAGCAGCTGAGTGACCTTGGGCAAATCACTGAACCTCTCCATGCCTTTGTTTCCCCTGCAAGATGGGGATAGTGATCGAGTCATTATGAGGACTAAATGACTTAGTATTTGTAAAACATTTATAACAGTGCCTGGCAGAGTAGATGCTTGTGTTTGCTAAATAAAAATAGAGTTCAGGCGTGAACAGGTTGGTCTTTGACTACTTTTCCAGTCTCATCTCCCCCTGACACTGCTCTCTGCCACCAGCTCATAGCCAACTCTCCTTCTAGACTGAGCTCCTAACTATTTCAACATATGCCAGAAACATTCATGTCTCTGGGCCTTTGCACATGCTGTTTTCTGTGTGGAAGACCTTCCCCACCTTGTTCACCAGTGAACCCCTATTCATCCTTCACAGTTCAGTTCAAACTTTACTTCTGGCAGCCTCCCTGGACTCTCAGAGACAGGTAGCCCCTTCTTCCCCTGGGCCTCCATTTCACCCCACTTTCATGCATGTCTGAGCTCCTCACTGCACCAAAACTCCTTGAAAGCAGGGCTATCTCTTATACACCTCAGTATTCCTATGCCTCTTGGAAGGCCTGGCACGCCGTGGGCATAAAAGATGTTTGTTGAATCAATGAATGACGAATGAAATATATTTATAACCTTCACTTTAGCCACTTCCGTAATACAATAGAATATCGTGTCAGATCCCATGACAAGTGAAAATGCACCACAGTTGACCAGGAGGTGCTGTAATTAGCCGACTGTCGCTGTTCCACCAGCTAGGAGAGGAAAATTCACTTCCCATTACCAAGTAGACTACAGATTTCCAACTTATGCATAAAAATATGAAAGCCTCAAAAACTCCCCAGGGACATTCTTAGGACTCAGTGTTTACCGAGTAGTCCTGCGTGCCCAGCTCTTAGCCAGGGACTTGACTGTGGCATCAGACTGAGTCCTCATCCCTATACATGGGGACCGTGATGCTTGGAGAGGAAGACAGAGGTATTGTGAAACAAGGTCATCTCTCAACTGGCTGAGAAGAGGTGTGAGTTCTAGTCCTGGCTCTGCCCCAGTGGGCTGTGTGACCCAAGTGCCTCCATCTGGGGAAAACCCTGTAAAATCCAGGGTTTGGATCCATGATCAGTAAGGTTTCTCCCAACTGGGGCAGTTTCTGAATCTGAGAGGCTGAGTGGGGTGGGGGAGGGATGTAGTAGTGGGAATTGACAAGATGAACTTACAGGGGAAGGGAAGCAACTCATTAAATGTCAACAAAAGAAGAGTTGCAGGCCGTGAATAGAATCACTTTCCCCTCCTCCAGTGTTCACTTAACCCTCACCTCCCATTTAGAAAGGTGAATAAATACAGGCGCCAGAGGTTTAGGGGCTCATCCAGTTCATCCAGGCCTCAATTTATAGAGAGGTCAATGACTGACCTAGGGTCACTCAGGAATATTTCAGTTTCCCAGCTCCTGAGTCAGCGCTCCCCACTACAGCTCACCCCTTCCCCTGCAGCCTGGACTCCTCCAGTCTGGGGAGCCAGGCAGGACTCTGAACCAATCCTGTGCATGTGAAATGCCACCATTGCCAGTGGGTAACCAATGAGCCAGCTCAAACCTTCTGTCCTTTGGCTGGGGATGGGTGGAGTCCCTTCCAGAGTGGGCATCTGGTGAGCAGAGACCCTTCAGGGGCATGCAGCTATCACACAGTACCCTCTTCTTCTGCCATCTCTGGTCTTAATGTTCCCTCTACCCCCAAGCAAGTAGGTAGGAGAGCCCTTAACACATGTATTCACATGTACCTACATGCATACATACATATGCACATGCACACATATATCGACACACATAAACACACACACACAGGCACACACCTACACAGCCTCACATAAGAGTCTCACAGCTAAGCAAGGCTGTCAGAGCTGCTCCTTCGCCTTTGCTGTCAAAACTGCTGTGGAGGTGGCATCATGCCAGGCGCCTAGGAGAACCGAAGAGCCAACTAGTGGAAAATGTACTTGCTTGATAAATGCCTCCTGAGGAGAGCAGAGGAAGAGAGAGGGCAGGGGAAAGGAAGCTACAGCTGGGCTAGCTGAGCGCCCATGTGTGAATGTGTGTACACGTGTGTATGTATAAGGCCCAGGCACCAGGGGACCAGTGGCCCTCAGAAAGACAAGGGTGGACCAGCTCCAGTGGCATAGTGGTTAAGTTCCGTGTGCTCCACTTCAGCAGCCCTGTTTGGGGGCATGGACCTACACCTGGACCTACACCACTCATCAGCCAAGCTGTGGTAGCAACCCACATATAAAGTGGAGGAAGATTGGCACAGATGTTAGCTCAGGGCTAATCTTCCTCAAGCAAAAAAAGAGGAAGATTGGCAACAGATGTTAGCTCAGGGCTAATCTTCCTCAAGCAAAAAAAGAGGAAGATTGGCAACAGATGTTAGCTCAGGGCTAATCTTCCTCAAGCAAAAAAAGAGGAAGATTGGCAACAGATGTTAGCTCAGGGCTAATCTTCCTCAGCAAAAAAAAAAAGGACAAGGGTGGAATGAAACAGGGGAAGATGGAGACTCACCTCCTCCTTCATCCCTCCTCTTTCCTTCTTCCTTTCCCTCCCTCTCCCGGTGATTTCATTCAGGCCTGAGTATGGCAAACCTTGCTCAGGACCCTGAGAATGGAGGACTCTGCAGGACGATGGCGCCCCACCCTCGACCTCATTTAAAAAAGCAAGGGAGCAGAGGCCCCATCAGTCACCCTGCGGAGTCCTGGTCTCTGGATGGACAAGGTCTCCATCTCTTTCGTTTGTCTGCTCTCTACCCGCCTATCCCTAAGGGCCAGTCTGGATGTCCTTGCCATCCTCCGCCTAATCCCCTCCTGGCTGCCTAACATTGAGGCGTCTACGCCTTTAAAGCAGCGGCCCCAGGCCGGGTTATTGTCTCGCCTCGCAGCCAATCAGCGGCGCCGTTGGGGGCGGGGGATCCGGCCTCCCGATTGGCCGCCCCGCGCCCCGCCCCGCCCGCAATCCCGGGAGCTGTCCGGCCGCCTCGGTGCTGATCCCGCCGCCGCCCACGGGCCGCGAGCAGCGCTGAGGGCACTATGAGCGGGGGCGTCTACGGCGGAGGTGAGTGAGCCTCCGGCTTCAGGCTCCCCAGCCTGGCGCGGCCTCGCCCGCAGCCCTGCGCCCCGAACCCGTGCGACCCAGGCTCTGGGCACCCCGGGGCCTGTCACCTTGGCGCTCGAGGGGGTCCAGCCCGGGATTTGGGTCCTGCGCCACTCCTACCTTCAACCCTCCCGGGACGCTCGCGCGCACCGGGCCCAACCTGTCCACCATTCAACCTACTTCCTCCCAGTCCCCGGCTCCTTCCTTCCCAGCAAGGAGAATGGCCCGAACAAGGCCACAGGGCAAGAAGGGACTCTGGAGATTTGACCCCCCACTCCCAGGACCCGGGACTCCAGGCCGAGCTCCCACCTGCCCCGGCTGGCTTTGAAGGTGGCGAGACTGTGGCTCTGCCCTGACCTCCTCTCAGAACTATCCAGGGGGAGAGATTTTGGGAGAGGTCCCCTCACACGCCTGTCTCCCCGCACAGATGAGGTGGGGGCGCTGGTCTTTGACATTGGCTCCTTCTCAGTCCGCGCTGGGTACGCTGGGGAGGACTGCCCCAAGGTGAGCCTTCCAGCCCCTTCCCCAAATCCTAGGGGCTCCGGACTCCCCTCCAGGCTTTCCAATGACCTGGAGCTCTCAGAGCCCAGCGAAAAGCTCTGTAGAACGGGAATGTGGGAGTAAACCCAGGGGCGGGCTGAGGGCCTTGCCGAGGTCCTGGATCGGGGCAAAAGATTGATCCCTTTTCCTGCCCATCCCCCGTTCCAGGCTGACTTCCCCACCACGGTGGGGCTGCTGGCCGCGGAGGAGGGAGGCGGGCTGGAACTGGAGGGGGAGAAAGACAAGAAAGGGAAGATCTTTCACATCGACACCAACGCCCTGCACGTGCCTCGGGATGGAGCGGAGGTCATGTCGCCTCTCAAGAATGGCATGAGTAAGGAGTCCTCACACACCGTCTCCTGACAAAGACTGGGAGCACCCCACACCCACGGAGTCTTCCTTGCAGCTGCCCAAGTCCCGGGGATCCCCTCACTTCTTCCCACAGCCACCTGGTTCCCAACCCAGAAGACCCACATCAGATTCCTGGGAAAGGGGGATTTCCCGTGGAGCTAGTCTTCCTTCTCCTCACCTGAACTTGGCCTCCCTCCTCCCTTTCCCTCCTGTCCCCGGACCCCTGCCTGCCTGCCTGTCTTCATTTCTTCACACTGGTCTCCTGGCCCCAGTCGAGGACTGGGAGTGCTTCCGTGCCATCCTGGACCACACCTACAGCAAACACGTCAAGTCCGAGCCAAACCTGCACCCAGTGCTCATGTCAGAGGCCCCGGTAAGTGTCTCCTTGTCTCATCCACCCCCTAGTCCAAACCTAGGATGGAGCACCTCCTTTCCACAATTTACCTCGCTCCTCAGGCCGCTGCCATCAATCACTCCACTTGGCTTTTCAGACTTTCCTTCCAACTCTATCATCTTCAACCACTTTCCTTCCTCCCTGGTTGAATCTCCATGCCTCTCTCCTCCTCCTGCAATAATCTACTCACCCTTCCCAAAGTTGGCCTTATCCACTGCCCTTTTTTCCTCCCAAAGCCCTTTTTTGACCTTTTAACTTAAAATTTTTGTCAATATTGTATATGCACATAAAAATCAATTTTCTTTAAAAGTAGGTTAAGAAAAAAACTGCCATTCTCACCCTCCTTCCATTTCCCCTTTTCTAGACGCAACTGCTTCTCTCTTTTGGCTCATTTTTTTTTGTCATTTCCTTTCATATCTCTAAATATCACACTTAAATAGCTGCTTGTGGATTTTTTAGTTTTAGGCATTATATATGGATTTCCCACAATAGAAAATGAAAATTTAGCTCTCTTTCCTCCCCCAGTCTGCACACATATTTCTCATTCCCCGTCTTTAAGTACAGTTGTATTTTCAGTTTCTTAAAGATCAATATTCAGTATTTACACTCTTATTATTTTGTATGGTAATCAGGGCCGAACCAGGCAATAAATTATGGTTACTTTTGCTTTCTTAAACAACTTTTTGTTTTTTCTAGAACTGAAAATTGTCTTGGTTTTTATTTTGCATAGTTTTCTATCTACTTAATAATGTGACCCTAAATTATTTATCATTTATCTATATCTTTTCTAAAGACGTTAATTCCTTTAGGTATTCTATCAATTTCATCTTCTTGAGGAAATCTCTCCAGGAGCCCACTGATCTGCTCCATTTTGCACTAGTTCCCTTCTACTCAGAGGACATAGCTATCATCCTGACATCTCCATTCACCATCATTTTAGGGAATCCCTTTGCCTCTCTCCTGTGTTAGAATTCCTGTTTCCTGTATCTCATGACTCCTTTTCTTGATTCACTCCCTTGTTTTCATGGAGCACATCCTCCAGTAACTGCCTTAGAAAGGTCATGGGAGGTAAAATTTTTGAGACCTTGCATGGCTAACTTTGGTTGGATATCTTAGCTGGGTATAACACTCCAGGTTGGAAATCATTTTTCTTCAGAATCTTGAAGGCACTTCTTCATTGTCTTCCAGCATTTATTGTTGCCATCAAGAAGGTTGAAGCCATCTAATTCCTGATTCTTTGACGTAATTTTTTCTCTTCCTGAAAGTTTATAGAATTTTCACTTTGTCCTCAGTGTTCTATAATTTCACAATATTATATTGGTTTATTTTTATCCATTACTCAAGACACTCAGTATGTCCCTTCAATCTGGAAACCTGTGTCTTTAATTCAGTGAAAAAAAATTTAATTACTTATTTGATGATTTATTTCTCTCAATTTTCTCTGTTCTTTCTGTTGTGAAATCCTATTATTTGGATTTCGTACCTCCTGAACTGTCCCCTAATTTTTTAATCCTTTCTCCTCTCTTTATCTTTTCCTCTAATTCTCAAGATATTCCCTCAAATTTATTTTTCAACTCTTCTTTTAAGTTTTTCATTTCTCCTCTTGTATTTTTATTTTCCAAGAGGTCTTTTTTTGTTTCATGAATGTAACTTTTTAGAGCATCCTATTCTTCTTTCATGGGTGCGATATCATCTGTTATCTCACTAAGGGTATTACTTGTTTTGTTTTTGGAAGTTTTCATCTCCCTGTATAATTTCTCTTCTTCCAAGGTGCTTTTTTCTGCCCTTATTTTGGAGCCTCCATCTCATTTTAGAGATATTTATCAGATTTCTGCAAATCTTTGGTCATCTGCTTATGTTTAAGTGTGGGGGACCAGCTTTTTAAAGCTGATTGGAGGCTGTGTTGGGCAAGGGACTTGTTGACTGCCATCTCTGCTATAGGACGATCTGACTGGGATGTTTTCTGAGCAGCCTCTGATAATTGGCATCTTTAGATTTTTTATGTAACCCACCCTGAAGACAGGCCTGGCCACCTCCTTTCTGGGAGCCAGGTGAGGGAATATGGCTGATGTTCTCAGCATTCAATAAGCATGGCATCACTTAATTCCCCTGTTTTTAGGGTCCTCACTCGCAACTATGTCAAGTGTCCCACCAGTTCAGAGACCCTCAGTTTTCTTCTCTCCACAGAATAAACTTCCAGTCTTCTGCTGGGTTGGGGTGGGCAGTAGCGCAGTGACATGGTGTTGGGAGATAATTTAGGGATCTGGTACTTGAATAGCTTTAAACAATATTATTTTAGCTTTTCCTTTCCCTCTGCTTCCAGAGATACCTGAAACTACCAATTCCTGATCCCTGTGAGGATTCTGCAATTTAACACAGGTTGTTCCTGACTTTTTCCACCACCAGTTTAGGAATCAGCATTCTTGAATCTGTTAAGTCAGTTACTCTCACCTATCTGATTTTCAACCTTCAAAAGTTTGTTGGGGCTGGCCCTGTGGCCGAGTGGTTAAGCTCACACATTCTGCTTCCATGACGTGAAGTTCGTCAGTTTGTATCCTGGACACAGACCTCCGCACTGCTCATCAAGCTACGCTGTAGCAGCATCCCACATAGAAGAACTAGAACGACCTACAACTAGGACATACAACTATGCACTGAGGCTTTAGGGAGGAAAAGGAAAAAACGAGGAAGATTGGCAACAGATGTTAGCTCAGGGCCAATCTTCCTGACCAAAAATTTGTTGCTATCTACTCCTTTCTTATTATCCCCAACCCTTGAGGGTGTATGTCTCTCTCTCTCTTTAGGTAAAATT